ATCTGCTGATTTTTCAGTATTTTCTAATGAGTTGTTTGCCATACGTTATATAAGTACTGATTCCTCTGGTTTTCTTTTTCTATTCGACAGAAAACATGTTATGCCTGCAAAACAGACACTTCTTGTCTTATAGGTGAAAAAGATACTAAACATGAGTTGGATGTGGTCCTTGGGACCATCTGTTTTGTAAATTGTGCCATTGTGCTAACTCTATTAAGGCATCTCAGGTTCTGTTAGGATCTTTTCATGTAGATAAATGAAAATATAGATACGTATGTGGATGAATACATGCTCGAAGGCAGATGTCAACCACTGATAGGCATTTGTATGACAAAAAAAAGGAAGCTAAGCAGCAGAGTTCCTCATGGGACCACAACAAACCTGGCTAGCAGAGTCTTGGTGCTTGGCTGTGTACAGCTGTTATGTAGATCTCATGGCCAACCCAAATTACAAGTCAACACATAACTGTAATTTAAATGAAACTTAGTTACTCTTCCAGTAATTTCGGTTGCATTTGTGGAGAGGGTTTGGAGCAACACTTTCATATGGCTTTCTTGAAAATAACTGGCATTCTCCATTTGTAAGGAAGCTCATTACGGTTTTTTATGTTCAGTTATGTAAGTAAACTTGTGGAGGATCATAAATGCCTAATATAACAGTAGCCTTCAGGCATTCTTAACTAAAATTGTATTTTATCTTCCACCAGCTGTGCATTTCCAGGAGCATAAATGATCCTTAGGATAAGCTGACTGTAAGACTTACTGCTCTTGCCTCCTAAACACAGAGAGCCGTAGTAACAAATAGCATTGTGTTTTTCATGTCATCTTTCTGCAGTTGATTCAGATGTATGGACAGTTGCACAGTTTGTAGGGAAAATGGTCTGTTCCTAGAAAACTAGTTCCTAGCAATTCCTAATTTATTTGTTTAACTTTTTTTTTCTTTTTTTCCCTGCATGAAGCATTCATATGAATTGCATTAAGCCTTAAGGTGCCAAGCTTCTGTCTTATATTTTCCTTCTCTCAGGAAAAGTGTGATAGTAACAGTTTTGTTCAATCAAGTACAGACTATTTCAGCCATCTAAATCCAGTCATTTTTGATGGATAATGTGTCATTCTTCGCTTCTCTTACCCTGTTCTTTTCTCACACACACACACGCTGTACAATGTTGCATAGCTACCAATCTACAACCCAAATGTTGTTATATTAGAGTGGAGAGTTGTGCTGCTCTCTGGGCAATGTATAGAGGATGTATATTTTATGAGATGCCAAGCAAGCTGCTGTATGACTATAAAGGTCTGTGAGTTTTTCTCATGCTGTACATACCTGCTAATTATCAAAGTGATTTAGGTTTTAAGCATGTTTTCTCTTTTGTTGTACGTTCTGCTGTTTTCAAGTTCTAAAACTGAAGTAATTTCAGTAATTAGTTATTTCAGAAAGCATTGGAGAGGTGCAGATAGTCTGTTGGGCACTGTGCAGGCACAGAATGTGCTACAGCCAGAGGCTTTCCCCCTCTGTGCACAAAAACCTGGGCTCTGGTTACTGAGGTCAGGGAGAGGGATCCCTCTGGATCATGCCTGCTGGAGTAAAGACCAACTCACTTATTAATGCCTGCATTCAGCATTATGGGAAATGGTGAGGGGGAAGAGGATCATCCTGAGCCTGCAGCCATGTGGAAAGCCAGTCAGGGGAAGCCTCGCTGCAGCCTTGCAGCAGACTGAATCCTCTTTTCTTTCCTGCCTTTGTGGTTGAAGGAGAGAAATGGAGGCTGGAGTGGGAATAATCAGTAGTAGTCCCCTCTGCCAGCCAGCCATCTCCTCCTATTGACCTTGAAGTAATGAAAAAGGGATAGATTCTTCTGCATGCTACCTCTGTGTGTACAGATAATGAGAGCAGAGAGTAATGATCATAAATCTACATGGCTTTGCCTGTTTGAAAGTCTGGGCCATGGGAAAAATGACAATATATAGTTTATTTTCAGTCTGTAATTCACATAAGCATTTGTCCCAGAGTGTTTCTTCTGGAGGTTTGGTTTTTTTTTGCCTTGTACTTCATTTTATGCAGCGGTGGTTTTAATTCAAATGAACCCTTTTGTTGACTTCAGTTTTCAATATGGGAATAGTTGTACTTCCTAAGCCAGCAATAAACTGATTTGATATTTGCAATTTTTAAAATGTTTTTTAAATAACTTTTCATTAGTTAATACAGTAGAATTATACTGATGTAGAACTGTGCCTATGAAAGAAAAAAGACCAAAAACAAGTCCAAAATACGAAATACATATGTAGGACTTGTATTTAATATTTAAAAAAAAAAAAGAAAAAAGAAAAAAGAAAATTAAAAAAATATTAGCTATAGTTAAAAAAAAATAACTTGGAATTTGGGAGTTTGTTTTCAGATGTTGAACTGCCATACACAAAGTAACCAGAAAGTTGTCTTTGGCAATTTGTTCATTCCCCTCCCAGTGAGATGTAATTCATTAAGGCAGTTCCTTGTCAAACATTAACTCAGAAACTGGAAGGAATCTGAGACAGAAAATAATTAAGTGAACCCTAATGATGTAGTAGTTCAACTACCCTGGCCAATGGATAGAGAATAGTAGCAAGGTGTTTTAGTACTTAGCTAAGATGCCAAGGCAATGTCAGCCAATAAATGATGTCATGCAGTCAGAGGCAGGGTTTGGTCAACGCAAAGTCACAGTTTTGTCTTTTAATCCTACTACGTACCATAACAAAACATCAGGAAGGACTATATTTAAAAACAGAGGAAATGTACTGAGCCACGAGAAGAGCTTATTGCATTGTTTTTCCCCTGAGCTAGATCTCAAGTGAGATGATGGCTGTGCCTTTCCCCCTTCTCAATATTGGATTAACCTCTGAAATGCCACATTTACTCTCTGGAGTAAATGGGACTGTGCTGGGGAGGTCTTACATTTTGCTTGTATTCCCATGATGGAGTCATTACATGAGTGTTTGGAGCAAAGCTGAAGCATAAGGGAAATCCTGACCCCTTCACTTGATATGCAGCAGGTCAGGTTGACAGAATGAAACACAGAGTGAGGGGGGCCTGTAAGTCTGGCACTCTGGAGCAGCTAGGATGGTGGTCATAAGTTTTTCCTCTTTTGAGGCCAATTATCCTGTTGGGGCTTGCCTTTGGCCAGAGAAAACACTGTAGCTGAGCTGTGCTTGTTGGGAATTAGGGAGGATGGAGGGAGGAGGTTGCCTGGCTTTGAGCTCTGTGCTCAAAGGTGAGGCTGGAGGTGATGGCTGGCCACAGTGTGCTCTGGCTGCTCCCCGGGCACTGCCTGGGGCTGGCAGTGATCTGGTCATGTGGTGAGCAGATTTAGTTCATCAGCCTACCAACCCTGGCCACAAAAGCATATATTGACATCAGGTCAGTGTGATGAACAAGGTTGGTTGCAGTAAGATCACAGCCAGCTCCAAGGTGGAATCATTGCAGGCGTTCCCAGGGTGAAACTTCCCTCTTCCAGCAAGCTGTTTCAGCTCACTCATGAAGACAGACCCTAATCTGACCCTTTCTGTAGGTTATTGTGTTTGGACTGTTTCTGGTACTCATGCCAGTATAATTTTTTTTTCCTACACAGCCATGTTTGAAGGTTGACACCTGTGGTCAGGTTAACCATCAGCTTTCATGAACTCTGCTGACTTGCCCTGGCAAAAAGTTTGCTCCTCAAAATCTAGCAAATAAGTTTTAGTTTAAAGACTCTCAGCCAACAAACAGTCAAGCGAAGTTGAACTCCAGGTTTGTTTTGAGAGATTGTAAGGTCTTTCATCAATTTAGGTATTAAATAAGGCCTATTATAGCAGAGGCATTCTCCACTTTCTCCACTTATGAGGTTAAGATATTGAAAGGGCTTAAGGAGTCATTAAGCCCAAGTGCTGTTTTTAGAGTTCCTTGAATTAGTGGAATTATAGTGAGATATTCAGGATGTGAATCCAAAGTGACCCAACTTGATCCAAAACAGCCCTGTTTTAAAACTGCCCCACAGGCACAGCCTTTACACTGTGCAAGTGGTGGCACTGGGAATGGGGAAGCCCTTCCTGGCTTAAGGGGTTGAAACAGGAGAAAATTAAGCAGATGAAGCACCAGCATTCTTCTGCCAAACCTGCTCTCCAGACATCTCCTTTGCAAGGGAGAGGCAAGGAGTCCTGAGACAGGGAGTTGGGAAACTGGGGAACCTCTGATTTAAAGGGGCGTAAACTGTTGCGGGGCACCTCAAGATTTCCATGTCAGTCATGTGCCTTTAATTGCTGCTAAAAATGCCAATTTCAAATAATAGTATGAGTACCCTGAGCAGAGCTGTAGTTAACTGTGTAATTTAACTCCGTGAAACTATTGACATGTCTAAAAGTATGCAGATGCTAGTGTCTTATGCTAGATCAGGATCTTAATTATGCATAGTTTGAGATAATTGGGTTGCTTTAGCTTCCTATCTCAGCTTGTTAGTTCTAACTACTAAATTAAGATTCATCTGTAATTCCTGTATGTTTAGTAGAACTATTTCAATTTGCTCCTGACATTAGGTAAGTGTTGTGATTAATTCTGCTTCTGTATTCTGGTTTTCTCTGGGAGAGGTCTGAATTCAACACATTCATATCACTGGGTAAATTCAGACAATTGCATCTTTGCCCTTTGCTGTGTGATTTATTTTTTTTCAGGAGATATAAATGGATAAATGTTCTAAATAAATATTTTGAGGAACAAGCAAGTCCCAAAGGGTGTTCATTTTGTTATAGAATTTGTTCTTTGGTTGCTGTGCTAGCTTGTATTTTGTATCTTTTGTTTTCTCTTTCTTGTCTTTTAGAAGCTCATACTTAAAATTCATCAAAAAAGTACCAGGTTTGACATTTTTAACAGAAACAAAAAAATGTGGTAAAGATCACATCTGTGGTCGAGCCTGTGCTGAACAATCCAACCTTTCTCTTAATCTAAGGTTTACATGCAAGGGTAGACTGATTATCTGCTTACAGGTGCAGGAGTATAACTGAATGCCATTGTTTCCACAGATGAGCACCATGCCAGGACTGCCCACAAGGTCGTGCTTCTATGACATTGACCTTGACCCCATCACAGAGGAAGTGAAAGGATTGTTTTGAGAGTGACATCCAAATTCAGGTCGGTCAACAGCCTTCATTTTCATGTTCCAGCCTGGGGAAGGATGTTTGTGCCTAGTATATGTGTAAGAAAGGCTGTCATGAGTTTATCTAGGCTCTAGTTTCAATAAAGATTTCAGACACTTTGGGGGTGTATTTCATAATGTGCAATTTATCACATGGGTTTCTCATTTGCTGAATGGTGACTGGCACTTTGCTGTTGTTCACTAATGGTGCCTCTTGGAATTCCTGGCACTGTCAGCTTGGCATCAAGAGGAGCCAGCTCTGCAACTGTACTGCTCTTGGCTATGGAAAAAGCCAGTCTGAAGAAACCATGTCATCTTACTCACCTCAAAAGAAATACTCTTTAATACTACACTCACGTGGCAGTGTGTGTCTGTCATTACCTAGATATCACCGAAGTATTTCTCTGTTCAGGAGCTCTGCTTTGTTTGTTCATGTTTTGTTTTCATAGCTGCTGTCATCTCTCTCAAATGGTAATAAGTATTTCAGGAACACAAAGCTGTCCTCTTAGCCTGTTTTTCATGCTGGATTCTCTCCCTTTTCCTCGAAGGTTGCAGTTCCCCCACCACCTCCTCCCTTTCTCTAAGTATTTAATCTTCTTGGTGTCCTGCTTTAATTTTGTGCAGCACATGTTCCTCACTTAAAAATACAAGATGTTATGAAAATATTTCATGTTACTCCATTTTAACCTTTTAACATAATAAGTGGAGTAAGAGAGAATGTAACCCTGACTGAAACAAACCATGTGTGCCTGTCATGGGATTCTCTCCTTTCATCACTTAGCTCTCTCTCCCAATAGATTGGTCTGGAGAGCAAAAGGGTTTTTCTTTTTTAAGACAGAACAACACTATTACTAGGAGCTAATAGGACTGTGATGGGACCCCAGATCAGCCACAGCTTTGAGGTGGATGTGCCCCGGTGCTTCAGCCCTGCTTTAGCAGTCCTTTCTTACTGTGGATTGAGAGAAATACACATTTCTATCCATTTTCTGTTTCTGTGTTTTGATGGGTTGTTCGGAGAAGGGGAGAGGTTTGCACAACCCAGCCAGACCAAGTGAACCGTTCACTTGCCCACACACAAAAATGCCACAATACTCACATAACATCTTGTGAGAACAGATACTGCCAGTCAAGACAAGTAAAAAGCACCTAGCTTGAAAGTTAGCCTGCATGCACAGGTAAATTACCTGTATGCAAACCATCTCTGACTTTTCTGTGGCTGGGTAGTGTTGCACTTCTTGGCATACATCCCATTTTTGTTATGATACTCATGATATGTCTGACAGCTTCATGCATACATATTGATTCATCATGTGTCAACCATGTAATTGCTTCTGAATCATTTGGAATGACTGTAGAATCCTAATGTAAAATCTATATGCAGATTCACACTGTCTGCTTAATTGGGTGTTTACTGCCTAGTCTTACACAAATCCATCCAAACCAGGGACTGATGAGTTTGGAAGAACAACAGTAATTAAGCAGACAAAATACTGCATTCCAACTGTGAAGGCCTTTCATTGGAAGCTGTGCATGAAATGAAAATGTTAAATTTGGCTTGTAGTCAGTGATTTTTTTGTCAGATGTAAAAAGAAATGCTAACAAAGTCACAAAAACATAATGGATTGGAAATAACATATATAGCCAACTGTTAATAAATTATTTTAATTTCATTATGGAGGTATTGTTGGCATCTGACAGATGAATGATTCATTAAGTTTAAGACTTTTAAAGAAAAAAACAGCTTGATTATATTTTTTTTCATCAATATAGGCACATGTTCACCTGTATTCCTACCTTTAACAATCTGAATAAATGCCCTTGAGAGTATGGTAATACCCTGTGAGCACCACACAAGATAGTGAAGTGTTCATTAGCTCTAAAATTCATCTGCTTCATGTGCTAAATTTGTACATTGCTAATTTTGGAAGAAGAGAGAAATAATATTCCCACATAGTCTTTACTCCCAACTTTCTGTGGAGAAGTTTAGTAGTATTCTTTGTTTTTACATATTCACTGAAGTGAACCCACACTGTAGGTGATACTACACTTTGAGGACTTGGTGGGTTTGTTTCTGTGATGGCAGATCAAGGTGGGGGGGGTTGTTTAATTTGAATTCTTCAGCATTTTAGTGTATGATGTAATATGACTAATAATATGGTGCTGTGCCAGCTCATTAGGACTGATTCAGATCTTTAAGACATTTTAATTGAAAAATATTTAGAAATTGGTAGAAGAGCTGCAGATGTTTCATTATAAACATGCTTGCAAAGCTAAGAACAGTTGTTTTAGTGTGCAGTTAATATCCTCCTCTACAATGCATATCTTCATCAGACCTGTGAAAGAGATACAGGCAGAAGTTCCTGCTTTCCAGGATGCTGTGTGAGGCTCTGGCTGAGCTGAAACGCTGGGTGTCATTTGCCACTGATTTTTCTCTACCACTTCACACCAGTCATTTGAACATCCTCTAAGAAGTCACAGAAGAAAAAAACTTACCATAAAAGTCAGCTCTGTTTTCCTTTGTTGACAAATAGGCAATACATGGACACACAATATTGCACTCTCTCTGTAGGAGCAATATGAGCTATCAAAAAAAATGAAACATTAATACACAGAAATGAACCCAAAAGAATCTGGCTAGTCCTTCGTCACTGGCCACTCTGCTATTTAAATTATACTGCCCAACTCATACACTAAGAAAGTTGAAATTGTTTCCTTAGGAGCTCTCTGTAGAGAGCACCAGTAAGAGTAAGACTTACATGGAGACAAGTCTGCCAATAGGAAGAAATTTAAAAAAAAAAAAAAAAAGAAAGGGTAATATTTGCTCAGTGAGGGGAAGTTGAAAACTGGATCTGCACAAGTAAAGTCTGTTAAGGACCCTGTGAGCTCTAAGGATCCCTCTAATTTAATCAGTGGCAGTAGGTGCCTGCTCTTACTGTGCAGGCTTTGGGTATCTGGGTTGATGGCAGCAGGGGGAATTCTTCTCCTCAGTTGGCTGTGACTTCGTAAGGCTGCCACTGTCCACAGTGCCTGATGTATTCTCACATTCTTCTCTTCCAAACTGGCAGAGCATCAGAATTATTTTAATGCACAACATGGATACTTTGCCACCCTCAGAGCTTTTCTGAACTGGAGAGGAATTCCCAGAGCTCTGCCTGTGAGCATCTTCATGGCCATAAAGAAGTCCATAAGAGCAGGAGACCAAAAAACTGGTGTTCTAAAATTGTAAGCTATTTGTTAGATGTTTTCATCTTAATTTATTCAGATATGAATAGAAAGTGTTTTAAGACCTTTCCCTTACAGCCACAAAACTGAGCCTATGAACAAAAAAAATTACTTCTTTTAGTCACATTCCACAGTATTAGCTTTCAGTCAGAAACAATTACTACAGTAATGTGCAGTCTGAAGTCTGTATCATGCTGGAGTACAAGTACGATTTTTATTTCTCACCTAGAAGGGCTACACAGACAATAAACAGGAGGTGCATATGGCATAACTGTACATTTTTGTTTATTATGGTTAAGGCAAAAATATCCCATTTCACTGAAGCACTCATTTTAGGTTGTGATGCTTTTTTTTTCTTTAAAGAAAGCAAAGATATCTTGTTTCAATGTATAAATTTCTTATCTTTGTCATTTCAGAAGCCTGAAAATTAAGAACTGCAACTTTCCTGTTTCCTGCAAGTAGAAGACAAAAAAATGAGTCTGAAATATTTCTGTTATGTGTCTCTGGAAGAATGTCAAGATAGACCAAAGAGCAAAAGTTTACTCTTTCTTCAAACTAGTTTTTATGATGAAATATAGCTGTAAGGTTAAAAAAAAAAAAAAAAAAAAAACACACAAAAAAAACCAAAACAAAAAAACTAAAACAAAAAAATACCCCAACCTGGTAAGCTAAAGTTTTACTCGCTGTAATGCAGGAAGCTTTCTACTGGGGCTTACGCTTGTTTGTGGATAAAATGACATTGAAAAAGAGCAGTTTTTCAAATCAGAGTTTTTGTCTTTTCGCAGAGGAGTGTACAGAAGTATTTCCTTTATCTTGGCTATCTACTAAAAACTTGGGTAAACATGATTATGCTGTGTGACCAAGCCTATTTCTCTCTGAAAAGTACACTTTTGCTCCTGGCATTCAAGAGCTGAAACTACACACAGATTAACTGCGCATTTTTGAGTTATCATCAAGCGTTGCTCTGGATGCGTTTGGGCGACAGCCAAGCGTCAAGCAAGGAAGATATTAAACAGAGAAAGAACAGAGCATGTATTTTGTAAAAAGTTTTTAATGTATAATTTGTTTCCTTGTTGGGCAAAGATCTTTTGAAACACTTAAGCCATAGCTGTCTTGTATCCGTAGGTCTGTCTTTATCCGAAGTGTGTGTTACAGGCTGTCCAGCTGATTATGTGCCTGTTGTGGTGAAGCTGGTTGTTCAGACAGGGCACTGCTCCTTCTGAAGTGCTGTTTTGCTCCTGTTCATGGCTAATGAAGCCTCCTGCTGTGCTGGCTGCCGACCTGGAGTTTTTCCCTGGCAGTGCACAGAGGCCCAGTAACAACAGAGGAGCGTCCATCAAGCAGGGATGTGGACAGGGCACAGCTTTTTTCTGCTTCATTTTGCAGGTTTTAACGACCATACTTGTAAAAGTGAAGGGTATTTCCATTTGAAGGGGTATTCAAACAAGTTGAATTGCAAACCATGTGCTTTGTCTCAGTAACTTCACTTTCCTGGTTTCTCCTAAAACCTGTAGCAAAACAAGCCTTAGGCACAGGATACTGCATTTAACTTTCCAAGCTGCTACTCCTCAGGAAACTCTTGCTGACTGACTGTTGGTCCTTTCAATAACAAAAATGTGACAGAACAATAGGGTGAATCGAGACAATAGGCAATTGTTTTTTTAGGTAAAAAGCGGTGAAATAATGATGAGAGAGTTTATTTTCCTGGTGACGTTTTCCATCCTGTCGCTTTGCTCTGCTTACGCACATCTGCGTGTTATGGGCTTTTGCAATGTAGCCTCGGTTCCCTTCTACAGAGCCACATTTGGAGACTTAATTATCTCAGGAACTCTGTAGTAATTGAGGGGTTTGTTTTGGTTCTTAAAATCATGCTTCGTTATTTATAAACTCAAAACTATAATTATGGACAGTAGAGCAAACTGGGGACAATTAATTGTGCCTTCCCTGGAGTAGCACGGAAATGTCTGCTGACTGCATTTCAGTGCTATTCATAGCATGGTCCTCCAGCACCACGGGGATTGCTGTGAAGATAAATGTAAAAACTAGAGCAATTTAATATTTTATCCTTACTAGACAATAGAGCTCATAACAGCCTAGATGTGGATGCTGTAATTACACTAGGTCATGACAAAGATGGCAAGTAGAAAGTCAGATTCAAGCTCCCAGAGCTGCTGGGAAGAGAGATTTCTTATATTTTCTATTAAATTGTGCCACAAAATACAACTCAATCCTATTCATACATACAACAGTGTTGTAAATTAGTCTTGCACACACTCATCTATCTAGCCAAGAAATAGCCAAAGTGTTTTGGAAGAAAATAAGTGTGGTTTCAAGACATAGTTTTCCTAGTAGCTTCCTTACAGGAAAAGTAAACAAGGTTTTCCCTCCATTTTGTCCAGAGAAATTTAGAAAATACATAATTGTGCCTTTCTAGGAATCACTGTGGTTCCCCTGCAGGTGCACTGGAATTGTCCCCATGCAGTGCAGGATACTAAATGTGGCACTGGCTGATTGCTTTAAAGCTTCCCTATGGCTGTGGATGTTCGAGCAACAAGTTTTATAAGTAATTTCATGCTGCTGTTTGATACTTTCTATTGTGTTGTCTCCATCTTATTCCTTTAGGCCACACGCACTGGGACCATTTATCTGACCCATCACTCTCTCCCTAAAACACCACTCCATCTCATTTAGTTGAAAATTGACAAACATCCTGTAATTTTTCTACTGTGATGTGCACAAGATTTGTTATATTGTTTAGATAGCTTCAGTAATTCAAGGAAAGCTGAAATGGCCCACTTGTCTTTTGTCTTAGCTTTTCCCCCACCCCATCTATTTAAGTAGCTCCAAAATCTCTCAAGCTATTGCATTTTTGGTCCTTTGTCATGATCCAAAGGGATTGAGCTATTGGCACCAGCTGAGCTGCAGAAACTGACACAGTGTGTTCCCTGGGGCCACCCTGATTCTGAGCCCTTCCTCCAGAAGAGTTTAACGTGAAAATTTTTGAGATCATTCTTATTGGTGTGTCACTTGTTACATGGATGTCACTGTGGGACTCCTTTTTCTGCATCTACTCTGAGCAGTGTTGTCACATGGCAGCTTTGTAAGGCAGCTTGCCAGGCTTATCCTTGCATTTGCTGAAATGTGTCTAGCACCATGTGGTTGTTTATTATCAGAAGATCTGCTTTCTGTAGTGACTGATTACTTTGTTATTGCTACTGCTGAACTGATTCTGCAAGGACATTGAAATACTTGAGAATACATGCAACAGGTTTCTTCATTTGCAGTTTGAAATTCAAGCTTCCAGAATTTCAATTGCCATGAACATGACAATAAAGTTTGTGTGCTAACGTTTAGTTTGCAAGTGGTACCTGTCTGAATTCCTTAATAAATACATGCATTATTTAATATTGTTCTCTCTCTATGATCTTGTCTACTTAAATAGTAAAAGTGTTTGGTGCCTGGCTGTTGCCACAAAGGGCCATGCACTAGAGGGTTGTCCATGGGTTCTTCTCCATCAGTACAGTCCTTTTGAAGTTGGTTTGTGCTTGGGGAAGGACACACTGGGCTAACATTCTGTCCTGTCTTGGTCCCAACATCTCGTGCTCTTGCCTTTGGTCCTTGACATGAAGGGCTGGGTCAGATGCAAGGGTCAGTTGGACATTTCCACTTCTCAGTTGTCAGCTGGATTTGTGTGAAGCAGTGTCAGTTACAGGAATGTTATCTTATGAATGGGCTTCTCAAGGTGGGATTCAAACACAAGCAATGCAAAAGCTTCAGGAATTATGGGTGCTAAATCATTAGGCCATAACAGAGCAGAAAGCATCCTGGGAGCACTAATTAATAAAATGCAGAAGGTGGGGGAAGAATCTGAGCATTGTAGGCACTTAGTGGACAGTGCTCCTGTTTTCTAAATAGCTAAATGAAGTCCCAGCCATGTGGTTTGCATTAGTACTGGGTTTTTAACATGCTTCTCATGGCTAGATTTCCAAACAGCTTCTCAGCTTCTCTGCAATGTTTCAGCCAGGACCTTACCCATATGGAACAGGTCTCAAGCACTAGGTTTGTTCTTGGTGGCCCCTGGGTCTGCCCTGCTGACGGCCACCCAATCAGCCAGGGATGAGTGTGGGAGGCATTTACAAACTCTCCCTTCCACTGAATTACTAGGGTGGTGAGGGAGGGTGTTGCCCCTTTAAACATGCAGGTTTTCATAGAATTTTCTTTGGAGAAAATATTTTAGAGAAAAATTTTAAGGCCAAGGTATGACCCCCTGAGAGTGCTGGAATGGAAACACTGAAAGGCCCTTCAGGCATTTGTCCTGACAACAGGACTGCTGTGCTATACATGTTACCATTCACTGCAGATTTAAGGCCAGAGTGTTTACGTAAAGTAAGCTAAATTCAAATATTTTCACAAGTGTGGTCATAATAGTTCCCTACTCCATGTGGTTGAGTGTAATGTATTACATACACACAAGCGTGAGCAAGAATCAATTTGTGCATGCAGCTTTTATGTAAAATCTTCACAATTTGCTTCCTCAGTAAAATTTTTAACTTATTTTATTTATTTATTTATTTATTAAATTTTTTGAGTAGTGATTGGGAGGAGCTAAGCTGCTACATACCAACATAGGCTGAACTGGGCAAGACCCTGATGAATCTTTTTAAGTCCACACTGCACTGGGTGATCTCCAGGTCCTTTCCAAGGTAAACTGTTCTATGCTCCTATGAGCTGAGATGTTAGCAGAAAAAGTCAGCACCGAGGAAGCCCAGAGCTGGCATACACCCCCCCACACACACACACAGGCACCTTAAGAGCTTCACTTTGCAGAGTACTAATAAAAAAGAGGATGTATCAAATACAAGTCATGCCCACTTCTATGCAATACACTAAAGCAAGGTGTAAGTTATGACATTTTAAAAGTTAAATTGTTTCCCACTAGGCAATTTCCATCATGCTCTTTCAACTCAATTACCATCAACATCTAGTCAAAGTTACATTCTTAAAGCCAAATAAGAGGTTCAGCTTTTCAGGATACAGCGTGTTAGTTAGTTGCCCATATAATGCAGCCCCTGCATGTTCTAATCACACACAGTTTATATTTACGCTCCAGAAAAATACAATTATGGCTGTATTTGTACAAAACGTGTATTATGTACATGTCACAGCTACACCATTATATGAACTCCGGGATATTTCCTTCCATTTTCTTTTTCGAGGAACAGCTGAAGGAGAAAACAGAGAGGAGAATGTCTGACTTGGGACAGCAGACCAGCCCCTACACAGCTTTCAGTCAGACAGAATCTCTGCAAGAACACAAATTCCCTTTATTCACTGGTTCTGTGCTCGGTGGCTGCACCTATTCTCACACAGCTCCAGCTCATCTCGATCACCTTGGTGTCTCCATTGCAGTCAGAAAAAGTTATATTTGCCAACCTGTTGGTTTTTTTCAAGTGTTTGAGGTAAGTGAACTCTCCCTGAGAGAGGTTTCTGGGGAGAGCAACAAAACCACCATCTAACTCCAATCTGGTCTTTATGGCATTAGCTTGAGGTGGCAGTTTAATGAACCAAGCCCTTCACATCAGTGCCATACAGAGGTTAATTTTTCCCCTATATTTAGAATGTTCAACCACTGTCATTCAGTGTCAGACATTAATACCTGGCAAGAGCTTGTTCTGTATCTACAGATAAAAACCTGTATCTAATTCTGCTTTTTAAACTGCTGAAAGTCAGGAAGACTTTAAATCTCAGTCAGTAATAACCAAGTATCCAAGCTATTTAATTCTCAATAGTGTGGGGAAAATGAAAAATTATAAAAGAAGAAAAACTATGAAGGAACAAAGCAAAGGAATCAAATTCACTCTTTTGGGACAGATTTATACGAAAACAGTTGTAAATCAAGGTGAGTCTGAAAATTTCACTAAATCTCACATAAAAAAATTCCTTTAAGTGGAGCAGTATATAACTTAGCACCAACAGATCTGAAGAAGACTATATATAAAACCAAAGTACATTTAACTGCAAATTGCTGCTGAAAAGGGAACTTTTAATACTAATTTGATATTAAAGAGATACACTAAATCAGTACAATGTATTGAAGTGTAACTAAGAAATAGTAGATAAAGAGATGACCAGCAAGTGAAAAATGTTATCAGTTTAAAAAAAAAAATTCAAAATAGCTTTTGAGTAATAATACACTTGGAAAATTAACTCTGCTGGAGATGACCAAGAGCCAATTCATTGCAAGGTGTTGTGAGCTGTTCCCCACAGTATGGATTACCAGATCCCCAGAGATGGGAAGAAGATCTTGAATTGAGCCTGTGCCTGGCATCACCTATAGCAACTGCAGGGGATCAGAAGGGTGGCAGCAATTGCCATGGAGCCCAGAGAGGGGGGAGGCCCCAGGCTCAGATTCCTGCATTTACTGAGTCCTCCTCATACGAGCCTCCTCTGTGGCGGGTCACTGCAACAGATAACCTCACCTTGGCTAAATTTGGACATCTCTACCCCACGACTGCAGCTACTCAGCAACAAACAAACCACACACCAGCCTGGAAGCAGAAATGGAAGAGTTATACCCAGTATGATTTAAACACGTCTGGGAGCTGTGCACACAACCTGTAATTATCAAACCATGAGTTTCATGAGCTGTTTAAAAGATACATAGTTTATTTTTCTAACCCTTTGGAAAGGACCAACAGCATCCTCATCCAACACCATGCTTGGGGAAGGAGTACTTGAGTGCAAAAATGGTTCCTTAAACATTGCTTTTCTGCTGGTATTCCAGTATTGTCCCTTTAAGCTCTGATAAAAGAAAAAAGTCCAAAAACCTCACTCTCTCCCAGTGAGAAGATCCCATCAAATATATTTGTGTATCTGCAAATGGATTCTTACCCCAAACATCTCTAATGCTCAGGTTTTTCCACTGTTTGAAGACAAGTGGTAGGAATGAGCTGACAGGAGAATACACTGTTTAATCCTGTATAAGGGATGATGAAGTGAACCTACAGAGCCAAATCCAAACATTTAGAGAGACAAGCCTGGATGCACAGGAGCAATTAGACTTGCATACTTGGGAAAACATGTTTGGGGAGGACCGTTTTCATAACTCCTGTGAAGTGGCTGTGACACCCAGCTGTGGTGGGATGACATGCTGGGAGAGCCATACCTTACTTAGTGCAGCTGAAATGGAAACAGTCCAAGTAACCATTTACTCATCTACATAAACTTGAACCTTAAATTTAGCAGCATTTCACCTTTTGACCTAGAATTTCACATTGCCTCAACCAGCTTGACTTGAGCCTGAACAGCTACAGAAATGTTTACAGCCATCTGCTGCAGCAGGATAGAATAAAACCTCGCCTGCATCTTGAAACCAATGTCTGAGGACTGTTCAGACAATCAGCACTGGATTCAGTTGGACTCACTGCAGACATTTGCCATCATGCCACCAAGCCCAAGGGCTTGACACAGCATCCTACCCTGCAAACAGAGAAAATCCTGCTTCCTGCAGCCCACTAACAAGTGAAGATATAGATGTTTACTGTGTGGAAAGATGTGCATGACAGATGTAAAAAAATGCCCAAAAACCTCTCTCAAAATTTATAATCTTAAATGCTGTACTCAAAAGTCAAACACACACTTTAAATTCTACATGATTTATTACATGTCAGTACCCAGCAGGCAAATAGATTTTTTAAAAAACATTTTCAGTAGAGGTGAGGACTCCAGTATAGAGTCAGCAGGTTATATTTTTTCTAGGAAAAATATTTTAGAATATAAATATTCACCTAAACCATCCACTCAGATCTGGTACAGATGCTGACCCTATCCACTCTGCTTACACAGAACCACTCAGGATGGAAAAGACCTCTAGAGCTCACCAGGTCCTACCACATGCTGAACATTGTATTTATTACTAAACAAAATTTCTCTAAGTAAATTTGTGTTTTCATGTACAGATTTAGGGACTAGGTCACACACTGTCGGGTTGCTTAGCAGCTGTAAATTCAAGGGTTTGCTGATTCATGCAATGTGCTGAAAAACCAAAGGCTTGCTGCAAAGATAGGATAGCCACAACCAGCCAGTCCCCTGGACTGTGGAAGAATGGCACAGCTATTCCCCAATGACCCCACAAAGGGACCACAATAAGACCACTAACCTGCTCATTCTTTTGGATGAGTTGTCATAGTCCAAGCCATATCCTACAGACTTTCCAGGCACTGGCCTAATCTCTTATTTCAAAGCACTTGAGGGGAAAAACAAGATGAAAAAGCCTAAACACCCAAAAGAAACAATTTTCACTCCACTCCCTCAGGTGTTTTAAGTTTCTCTATAACAACGAGGTCTGGCAGGTGCAGGTGCTCCTGAGGAGGTGGATGGTACCTGGGGCTCTGGATGGTATTCAG